GTGCAACAAGTTGCACTACACGACAATCCCTGGCCCTTGCCCCTATTCAGTACTAACATACCCAAACCACAATATGTCGAACAGGCCGGGGTACGACCACAGGTCTCCCATCGGCCAAGGCGGCGCGGACCTGCAGTGCACTCACATATGCAGCCTGGACGGCTGCTTAAGGCGGAATGGGACTGCATGCTTCTTGACCGCTGTTTACTGAAAACCTCGTCGGACAGCTGTAGTGTCACATCCACCACCATGGCTTCGTCTTGGAACGGCGCTTGGATTCTAGGATGGTGCTGCGGGTAGCATCGCTGGAATGCCTTGATGGACTTTTTACAGAGGAGATCAGTCGCGGCTTCAGAAACTGTCAACGAAGCACAGCGATGCTTCATCCTACTCCCTGTCGCTGGCACAACGGGAAACAAGCGAAAATGGCGCTCGAGAATCGCACTCTGAGGATCTGCTTCAAAGGCTTCACGAGACACTCCTCAGCTACCGCCTTTTTATCTTGAAAAGTAAAGTGAGCCATCTATCTGCAAATGCATGATTTGCGATCGAAAGGGATGCACGGCGTGCAAGATAGCTTCGAGGTCTGCCCTAGACTTCCACCGCGTCCCTTCCGCACTCGCTGCAAAGTGTCGCTCAAATCGCGATCACGGACGTGCCTCCGCACCCGAATAATCCGAACCTGAGAGGGCGCTCTTATGGCCGCCATTCCATGCCGTCTTGGTCTTGAGCCAAGCAGGGCTGGATTCAGCGACTGGCGCAGTTGGTTGGGATAGTTGAGGTGCCAAAGCCAATCCTACCTATCATCTTGGAGTCGTCACTGATCGGGTACATATACTTCGAGTGTTCTGCCTCAACTCAACTGCCTGGCCGGCCCCCAACGCTTCTAACGATCAGGGCAGGTGAAGAGCTGGTCATGGAAAAGGAACGGAGACCAACTCGTAGACCGCCGCATTCCGTACCTCAGCTGCAATCTAGGTCCTCACGAAAACGCGGCGGCTGCACAAGCATGCTGCTCAGGGACATTATTGACTTTGTCGCCTCAGATCCCTGCACTTGAGTGCTTTCCTGCCATAACGGTTCAGCTGCTTCATGCCCCTCGCACTCCACATGCGTCCTGCCTACTTGGGCAAGCTGTTGAAAAGCGCTCACCTTTGCAGCCTGAAGCGCATGCAATGAGCCGTGTCAGTTGCTCTTGCATCGATGTCTCCATGCTCAAGCATGCTGCGCCCATGTTTCCGACGCAGACGAGGGCAAACACATCATGCGCTCCCGTTGGCAGATGCCAACTGTATGATGACAGGGCCAGACACCGTGAGCTGCCGTGATCCAAGCATAATCGTCTCTGTGTCTTCATCTGTGGCGGGAGCTAAGCAGATGCTCCCCTTAGGGGTCATTCCCGAAGTCGACATTCTCCAAACCGAGTTCACACAAACCCCAAGCCAGGAAGCCAGAACTTGCTTGAGCATGATGTTCGGAAGACGAAACGAGGAAGCCTCACTTAGAAGCAGGAAGGAGAACTGCACCTGGTCGTTTGTGCGCAGCACATCCATCGCCCAAATCTTGGTTATCAACTCTTTCTTGTCAACACCCCATGTGGACAAGGTCCTTCGATGTTCGTTCCGGAAATCAGTGGGAACTGATGTAGCAGCGTATGTGATGCGCTCACCCTGCTCTTTTCGAACATGCCGCGCGGTGCAAACGTTTGTCCAGAGCGCCTCTGCACTGACAGGTGATCCCTTCTGCTCTGTGCATAAAACAGCTGACCTGCTGTCGCCACAAGTACAAAGCACATGACTGGTAAAATAACTCGGGTCCCAGAACCGTCTGCATGCATCCGACAGGATGACAGCTGTCAAGTCGGCCACGCTACATGCTGAGCTTGCCGTCAGCTGTCCCAGAAACATAGGCAGGCTCGCCCCAACGTTCTGCGAAAAAAGCTTGACATCGCCGTTACAGCCAAGATTTGTCCAGCCATGCTGCCCACTGTTGAACCCTTCCAAGTGGCCCAGAGCATCCCTCAAAGTGTCGTTGGCCATGCCAGACAATCTGCGACTTTCCTCCTCATCCAGGCTGATGGCATGCCCCACACCATTCATGTACACGGGATTAGACACGTGTGCAATCGAAAGCAGGATCGCTCCCGAAGGGTTACGCAAGCTTACTATGAATGCGTTTCCAGCTGTTGACCTTGACATGCAAACGAACATAAAAAGAGCTGATTCAGCCACGCTTTTGCGGGAATTCAACCGATGGACTTGCCGAAACCATCGAAGAAGCTGCTGACATGCACTGCCACTTTGCAGTGGCATTTTCAGCTCCGCACCAGCAAAGATCTCTCCTTTTAGCTCAAGCAGTGCAAGCATGCGTAACAACCTGCAAAACAACACTGCAGCCAGGGGCTCGGACACACATCCGCCCCTTCCTTGCGTTGACCCTGACCATGGCAAGAGCTCCAAGAATCCCCATCCCCGAAGTCGTTGCCCGCCTCACGATTTCGTCCCCGAGGCTTCACCGGCGGAAGTGGCTGGTCCTTACGCCAAGAAGCGGCTTCTTCACTTCCCGCCTTCGCCTAGCCGCTCAGCATGAGGCCGGAAGAGGAAAGGGCTCGTCTACACCGTTCTCGTCGAAGAGCAGCGGCATCCCTGGCTTTAGACCGATTTAGACGAGGAGATGCTGAAGGCACAATCAAGCAGGAGCACATTCTGGATGATCCTGCAGCTGGTTCATGACAGGGCTATTCCGCAATCGCCGAACCTTTGCAGACCAAGATCTTGGGAGTGTCTTTGATTCTGCATCTCGATTTGGAACTTGTGAGGTTTTGCAGACATCACTTACACGAGGCGCAGACGTTTTCAGAGAGCCCCTGCACACGAGCGGGCGTGACCTTCCCGGAACTCAACTGCTACTGCTCCGTGCATCTCCGCACAGCACCAGCATCCTACCATCTTCCATCGTCCCGCCTCCACGACCTTCTTAGAGTTCAGGCCCGGCAAGCACTTCCGAACGTCCACTCCGTGAAACAAGCCGATGAACCTGGCCAAGGAACCCCGACATTGTGACATCTCTCCTCGTTCCTCGAATCCCTGCCTCTCGCATGAGTCCTGTGTGCGGAAGTTGATGAACCCGTATCTGGCACGGTGAGGAAGAACTTGCCGCCATGCCAGAACTGGTAAGGAAAGCTGCCGGCAGGGCCCCACGTTGCACTTGTTCTTGAAATCTATGGGGAGGTACATGAAGTCAAACCTCAAGGCAAGGGCGTATTACTGCCATGGAGCAACGGCCCGAAAGGCCCTTGGCTCTTGCAGCCAGCGCCGGGACCCGCACTCGCCGTTGAATTCCAAGCTGAGCTGCTTGATGAGCATCTCTCTGGTGTACCTGAGGGATTTGCAGCGGTTCCAGAGACTGGCAGCCGGTGGCCCCTCGAGGAATCCACTTGTTCGGGATGTTTCGGAGCATGACCGTCGTGTACGGCCTTAGCATTGTAGAGGTTCGAGACTTCTAGATCTCTTGCCTCTTCGAAGTTCCGAGAGGTTGGCTCATTTCCTTCTGGGCGCTCCTGTCAGTTGGATGCTAGAGATGATGTGTTCACCTCACTTCAACTGAGGCCAGTGCATAAGGAATCGGAGGGATTTTCTTCTCTTTCGTGGCGGGGTCGGCACCTGCCAGCTCCGAAACCCGCATGCCGCGTACGTCGCAGGATGTGCGCCCGCCTTGTCTGGGCTCCTCCTTCCAGGTGCCAGCCTTGAGAAAGCACAAGAAAGCATGGCGACACCGTCTATACTGTGCGGGTGCTAAGGGAATTGCCCACTCCGGGTCCTTTGTGCTGCTCCTCTCTTCCTGGACAACCAGACCGCAGACCGGTGACTGTTTGCACGGTTCACGAGGCGGGTCCAGGGTCGGGGTGGCATCGCCGTGTCACCCGTCCTCCCATCCCCTCTGCTCCTTGCCCTTGCTTTTACCTTTGCTGCCTCGGCGGCTTCCAGTATCGGACGCCTCCTGCACAGCTGGCTTGCACATAAGGAATTACCTTCTCCACCGTGACATGAATCTCGCGTCCTTCCAGTATGTGTCATCTTCCCTTTGCCGCCAATCGTCTTTCCAATCGTTGTCTTTCCAAGCATAGTCTTTCCAGTCCTTCCAATCGTTCTTTCTCGAGCTCTCCTTCGTATCCAGTGTGGAGGGATGGCACGGGCTGCATACCGAGCTGACAATCAACCCAGCCTGCCATTCATGCCACGAGTTATCCTTCCAGTCTTTCCATTTACCATCGTCATTGCTGGGACGGTGGTTCTCGCCGTTGGTCGCAGGCACTGCTGCCTCCTGCCGGGGAAGTGAACGTCGAGCTCGCGCGGCGCGCGCGGCCGTGGTGCCGGCCCCGTCCTCACGCGCGGCGACTTTCGCAGTCGCCGCGACCGCCGCGGGGGCGGCGGCGTCTTCCTCTTGCGCCGGCCCTGGCCCAGGCCCCGGCCCAAGCTCCTGGAAGCAGACTCGGACTCTCTCTCTCTCTCTCCTCGACTCGCTCCCTCTCCTCTGTGGCCTTCGGTGCCTCCATCTGGGTCAGCTGCTCCTTCACGGCAGTTGGAGCAGTCTGCTTTTGATGCTTCGTGCGAAGCTCCTGCTGAAACTCCTGCATCTGTGCGGCCTTTTGCAGCTGCTCCTGCAGCTCCGGTGGCATCATGGCTTGCCTGGCGATAGTCTCAGGGTGCATCTCGCTTTCAGATGGCAATCACGGCTCGGAAGACCCGTCCATGCAGGGCATTTGCCCATCCATGCCCATCTGCTGCCAGTACGGCATGAACCTCAGAGGTGGCAAGCCTCTAGCAACGCGCTGCTCCACACGATGCCGGGGCCCGTACATCCCTTGCATATAGGTCTCTGGGCACATCTCCGGAGGCAGGAACTGCATACCCTGCATCAAGAACGAAGCTAGACACGCGCAACCGTCCGTGAAACATCCGCTCAAAGCAGCCTTGGCAACCTGTAAACACACGAGGCCTGCATGAATCCAGCGTTCATGGCTGCTACCTGCACCTCCTTGGCAGAAACAGTACTCTTACGAGGGTCAGAGTGTTTTCGAGTGAGCCCGTGCTGTGGCGCCAGCATTGTAGTCGACCTGTTCCTCTGACTGTTGGGGCGGACACTCACACGAGACAGCACATGCTGGAGCCTCGCAGTCATAAGCTGGCGGGAGACCTGAGCAGAAACCGCTCACAAATTCACAGAGTCCAGCGCCACTGGAAATGTAGCAGATCTGCATTTGAGCGAACCGCCCATCTCCGGCATTCCATAGCCGTATCCATTGAAGTCGGGAACCTGAAAGCATCGAGACGACGCTCGCATTCTGTAATTATGAACAGATTTGTACTTTAGAAGCCACCTGTGGCGGAAAGGACGAATGTAGGAAGGGCGATGGCGTTGTCGGAACCACGTACCTGTCAAGACGAAGACTTTGCTACTCAGAGCTCCAGATGCTACCGCTGAGTAAGGATCTAGGGCACGCTGGCTCGTTTCCCATGTTGGCGGCCTACCCACTTACAAAAAGGCTCTAAACGACAGTCAACGCAACCCACACTGAATCTTACAACTGAAGATCTGGGTCGAGCACTACCTGGGCTACAGACTCACCATTGGAGGCCGTCCTCGCACATCGCACATGACTTGCAGCCCAATCAGCTCACTCATGTCTTGCGAGACCTCTTCCGAGTTGCGGCCACAGTTGGAGAGTCCCCCTCTACCTGAGAGCTGTGAGAGTTTCCCTGCGCCGCACTGACGATTTGAGGCTATTGACTATTGGACATGGCAGCAAAGCCTCAGCAGCATCCTCAAGCATCTCAAAGTCCACATCATCAATGGGCATCGCCTGTGGAAAAATGATGCTTGGGGAAGGCTTTCTGGAGAAAGTGCTGCGTTGGCCTGGCGAGTCTCATCGACCGGCTGCAACCTTGCGTGGGTTCTGTGATGAGCTACTTATGGACCTGCTTCAAGATTCACATCATTTTTCCTCCGCAGAGTGGGCTGCTCGATCCTTCTCCCAGACGTTGCCCTGCCATGCCCTGCTGTATGTCCTAAGCTGTCTCGCCAGCAACTCCTTGCCATTCCTTGTGAGCAAGGTAGCACACTTCGCAGTCGGGGGCGACCACACTCACGAGCTCACCAGCAGGATTCCGTTAAGCAAATTCTCCATCAAGCCCTCACTTCGTCACTAGGTCGTGCCGCCAGCGCTTTTCGTGCCCGTCTTCCATCATGGGCTCCAAGAGACCTAAGAGCAAAGATCAGATAAGCCCAACAAGAACGGAAGCGCTCTCCGGGCCTCGAAACTTGGTTGATCCGTCTTCCGAGACAGTCCAACGAGCTCCGTATCCTTGCTTGACCCGTACCTGAGCTGACATGGGTGTGAAAATGCTGTGAGGAGAAAGGGTTTCAATCTGCTTTAAGCTGTGCTTTGGAGAAGCCTCAAAGGTGGGGAGGCCCCCCGGCAATTGATGAAGATTGCCCCAGACCTCAACGAGCCGAATTCAGAGGTGCACAGTCACTTTTTGAGAATGAAGCACAGCTTGCTCCGAGCGGCAGCTTCCTGCAGGACTGTGCGCAGAGCAGTCTCTGCGGCCTGGTTCTTCGCTGCGTCGCTTCCGGAAGCTGCGCCAGCCCAGAAGCCCTCCATGCCACGGTGTGCCTGACAAGTCAAAGCAATCATGCATGCCATTGTGGAGAGCGAGCATGAGCGAGCCCCTAATTTAGACATGAGGCATGCTTGGCCAACGCTCGGGCACCCACACTCAGCAGGGACGGGGGTTGCAGGAGCTCGCCTAGGAAATCTTCTGTGGCCAAGGTAGCATCATCCATTCACAAGAATCTTCCGAGGAGCGCTTCATCTTTGTCAGCTGTTTCCTGAGCCATCACCGAGAGGATGCATCATACACTTCTGGCGTTCATTTCAGCGGCGGTTCTTCTACAAGTTGCAGGCAACTGAAAGTCAAGATTGGTTCTTGGATTAACGGCTGTGGAGTGGAATTCTAGAGCTGATTCGCTACCTGCCGAAATCTGCCGTAAGAATGTTGCGAGGCGCATTCTGGAAATTGCCACGTCCATCTCCGCGTGCCTTCCCTGCTCAGCGAGCGTCTTGATCTGCGACCTCAGCGCCTGGGCTTCGTCCTCCACTTCTGCCATGCCAGGGCTGGCACTGTCGGTCTCGCCTTAACAGTGCTAAGACAGGTCGAAGCTGAAGGATCAAAGAAGATGGAAAACTCGTTGCTGCTGCGTCGCTCTCGGAGGCATCGTCTCTGTTGAGAGCACTGAACGCTTGGATGAGCTCCTTGCGAGAGGGCGGGAGCATGTCGCAGCTCCCTGCTGTCCACCGCTGCCCCAGTGCCAGGCGAATTCCGCGCCGCCCAAGGCAGGAAAAGGCAAAGATCAAACTCTGCCTTCCGCATCTTTGCACGCACTCCTGCCACCGCACAATTTCCTGGTCGTCTTCTACCAGAAGGCTGGTGAGGCCGTCGTTTTGCGGTAGAGGAGGCCGTTGAAAGTGGCCTTTGCGAATGCAGTAGTCCAAAGCACCGGCCAAGGATGCAGAATAAGGTCGATCCAGTACTGGACCAGAAACTCTGGGTCCATGCTCGTGCTCTTTGCTTGTACTTTCCACGTATCCAGGCGACTCTTCGGGCCCCGATGCCGTTTCCTGCTGCAACAGGCTTCCGATAAATTCCTGGCCCAGGATATCCTTCAACCCATTGCCCTCGGCATTCATGAGCACGCTGTGCACAGCGCTGTATATATCGCTATCAGGCAAGTCCATCAGGCGATTGCGGCGGTTCCCGAAGTTGTGGTTGAAGGTCCACCCATGGACCGCGCAAAGGTCGGTCAAAATCGCGACTCCAAGCGTGGATTTGCTGCGTGTCTTCCGGCTTACCGCAAGGGGTCGTCTCCCCATGCCACCCGGCCCATCTCCGACGGAAGCATGTCATGCGCACCCTTTCGGACACCAACTTTGGTGCTTTTCTTGAAAAACAGCCAAGCTGCTCTCATGCATGTTCTGCTGGCCGGAATATCACTCTTCCAAGCTGAGCTGCAGACAATGGAGATGCAATTGGCGACTTAGACGCGACCTGAACGAGCACCACGAAAGCACAGACGTCATCAGTCTGAAATGTCTGAACATCACTGCCCTGAACTTAGCTTCGGGCCACCAGCGGTGACTTCTTTAAGTCGTGTCCATCGCTTCGGCTCCGCCTAACCGAACGGAAAGGGCACGAGTCTGAGCAGACTCTGGCTCGGTCCGCTCGGTCTTCTTCAGGGCCTCTTCCGAAGCGCTGCTTCCTCCTCGGGACAAGACAATGACACATTGACGGCGCATGATCATGACCTGCTGCCGTCCTCAACCGGAGCTATTTCAAGGAATGTATTCTTGACCTTGAAAGAAGCATCTGCGACGCTGGTAGGGCCATGCCTGCTTCAGTAGCTGCGCAAGACACTCTGGCGCTTCAGCAAGCAAAACATCCGAGGAGCATGGTCGGCGTGACCAGTGGGTCCCAAGAACCGCTGGCGCCACAGGAGTCAGGGAGGTGTGGTCGCAATGCGGGGCCAATGCTTACACTCTAATTACGCTCCTGAGACGAGGTCGGAGTGGCTCTGGAGTGGGCTGCAGACTCGGCTCGAGTGTGATCAAAGCTCTACGCGTCTTCTGTGCTCATGCTGAAGTTTGCGCGAGCTCGAGCTTGTTTGCACATTGAGCTTTCATGTTGGAAAACCCCCGGCTGACACTTTGGCCAGGATTCGAGCAAAGTAGATGCTGAGGGTCGGAGCAGCAATGAGTGCTACTACATGCCTACACAGACGTCAACTTAGCGCCGGGCCATGCAATTAGACAACATGCAGTGCAAGCAACCGCCACTACTACCGAATTTTCGTTTTGAATCGCAATACTTGAGCTGTGCGTTGCAACGAATTGCAATTATGTGCGGTCGCTTTGGACCACAACTGCACTATATTGGACGTGCGTAATGTGCTGCACGAGTCCCTTGTGGGAGCCATGCGGACTTGAATTCGGCTTCTTGTGCAATGGAGAGCGACAGTATTGACATGTGTTGACCACGGTTTTCATGGAGCAACACCGATGATTAAAAGACATACCCTGTCTCCTGCCATGACGTCCGTCCAATGATTTCTCGAGTTTAACAAGTCGGGCTTTGCACAGCAGTCATCACGAATCATTAAGACGGCCCTTACTTGAGCCACCTGGAGTGGTGGGCCAACAAGACCACAAACCCATCAAAGCAGGCCGGACCGGCCCAGCCTTCGACTTGGGCTAGGCAAAGAATTCATCTAGCCTGGAGAGTGTCATTGAAAGGGCCTCGTCGAACCATTCATCATGGATGTGTCTGATGCATTTACGTGCATATCTGCATGCCAAGACCAGAATCGAACGAACCAAATCAGTAGCCAGTCTGCTTTCACACAGCAAGGAGGAAAACAGAGAGAGAGAGAGAGAGAGAGAGACAGACAGACAGACAGACAGACAGACAGACAGACAGACAGACAGACAGACAGACAGACTGAGAGGGAGGGCGATAGCGAGCACCAGCACCGAGACAGGAGCCCTTGGCTCACGGTCTCCAGCTGCATACGCAATCGTCACCTGCCATCTTAGAACAGCTTCGCCATGCTGCGCCGATTTGGTCAGATGGACCTGATGGCCATGAACTGCAAGGCCACTGGCGAAGGCAAAGCGAGGAGCGAACCTGGGCATTCCGTCGGCCCGTCGGGTCTGGCAAATCCTGATCAAAAATACTGAGCTGCGAGCGGCCGCGGTGGTAGCTCTTGCAGAGGCAAAGCCTTGGAGACCTGGAAAGCTCCACGAGAACACACATTGGCATTGGGATGGCATTGCGGCATTTCGCCTGCAAAATCTGGAAAGGTGGATCGGGAGAAAACCGATAGGCATAATGCCAGTAGCGGCGGACCTGCCGGGTTTGCCATGCTCCACTACTCCCAAACAAACACTGCACCCAGTTTCCTTCAAGTCTGCCACGTGGAACAAAGCCAGGAAGTGCGACTGCCGCAGGGTCAAATTCGCTGCTCTTGCTGCAGACGCCTCGTGCAGCTTCGGCTGCGGGAAAACACAGACACATCTGCAGTGCGTCAATTCAAGGGAATTGTTGGCGCAGGTACTTGTCAGAAGTCGCGTCAAGCTGGCTGAGGAATAGACATCTACATGAACGGCTTGACCAGATCCTCGATAGGCCTTGTCTAGGTTCTTCTCCTGCATTGGGATAGGTTAGCTTAGCTCAATCTAAATGGACGTGTGCAACTGACAACCGAGCTCAATCGGCACTCCTGCATCTGCGCCAGTGGTGGGAAGAGGGTACGAAACTGTGACCTCCAGGTGAACTGTTAGACTGTCTCTCCAGCTCCTCCTCAGTCTCTGAGGCTGTGGCCCGCAGGTGCCTTGCCCGTCGTGGACCAGCTCGTGGACAAGGTGAGGAACTAGAGAGTAGACCTTCTCCAAGAATGCTGAGCTTTGTGGTTAGGCAAATGCCAGCGCTCTCCGTCTCCCTCCTTCAGACAGCTCAAGCTCCGGCCACATATGTGCGGCTGTTGCGCTGAAAAGGGATCCAATTCTTCTCGTTGTGGTTCCATTCTGAGATCAAGCAAGTCTTGAGCTCATTCGCCTAGACCGCTTACTACATGTCCGAGGACGTCACGTCCGCATTTCAAGTGGAGGCCTTGCGACACCTTGGTTGGACAACTTGAGCGCGCGCAACGGGGTATGTCACTAACAGGCCTGGCCTTGTCCACTGCCTTTGCATCTACACCTGCCGGTGAAAGTGACAGATCAATATGGACAAAACGCCCTGTCTGTTAGGCAAGTGGACGGCACCTGAAGCCAGAAACATCTGCATCACATCCCGCCGCTTGCAGTCTTTGCCTGCCTGGGCCGCAAAATCCGATTGAAACATCATGCATCCAGCACTCATTCAGGCTAATGGGGGCTGGCCATGGATTGGAGATGCCATGTTGTGTTGCACCAGGAGCCCACACAACAGGCTTCACTATGCTGTGGCTGGCATCGGTCTCTCAAGCTGCATGTTCTAAAGCCGGCGGTCACGGGCCTTGGGCGTGTAGGAGCTGAAAGCGATTTGCACCTCCGGTGCTGTGCCGAGAAGTCTAGGAAGCTAGGTCATGAAGCAAGCGGACAACGATCGTGGACCTCTTCCGAAGAGCACCATCTGGAATGGCAGTTGCGGCAATGGTCACGTGAGGAGCCACCTCGAAAACATCTCCACCACCACAGCATGAGAATGATCTCAATTAAGCTCAGATGCACAGGTCTCCTGGTTCACGTGGAGTGCTGCCTTACTGGAAGAACAGCAAGCTTTACAGTGTGCCGTGCACCTGTGCTTGCCAACGAGAGGCAATCGGCACTTGACTTGTCGCAATAGCCCTGCGTCAAGGGGATGACCTTCGGATCCTGAAAAGGTGCATAAGAAGCCACTTCTGGTGACTTCGCTTCCGGATGTCCTCTGGGCCTGTCACCACAAGCCTGACACTTTCAAGAGAAATCAATTGAGACCTCTCGACTCTCCTCAGAGCTGCGCCTTATGAGAGTCTTGTTCTCCGGAACATACTTCTCCCGCTCACACAAGTTTGGATATGTCCAGTTCTTGCCATCTTCCATGCGGAGACCTCCGCATCACTCCACATCTCTACGCCATGTTTGCTTGTGTTTGCAGGCCGGAAAATGGCCCCGCGGAATCGCTCGGGAGGGCGCCGCTCCAGGGTCGCAAGGTCATCTCGGGGAGTTGGCCGCTGAAGAACCTCGCGAGCAACGGAAGCGGACCGAGGGCCCGGTGCGGAGCATCTATGGGCCTTCTCCAATCCTCGGCTGCCATCCTTACGCTTCCGACGACGATCTGCGAGTGCCAGATCTCCTCACAAAATCAGCAAGTGCAATTCTTGCCCCAATCGGGCCTCAACTCAGCCGTGTTTATGCTCGGCCCTGGCCTCCAGCACTGCCTCGTAGTCGTGCTTGGTCGCGTTGTTTGTGACGTTGCTCTCGTTCCCGATGCTGTTGCTGCTTTCGCGGAGAAGTCTGGATGAACGCCTGCCGAGCCGCGCGTTTGGAGCGCAGCAGAGGGCAGCAGAAGTCGAATAGAGCGCAGGCACGTTCTTCCGATTACATAAATACTGTCTGGTTTCGGACGATTTCCCTGTCCTTTTAGCCGCAAGATGGTGGTGAAATCTGCGGTCCATGGTTCGCAGCAAGCTATTACATGTGAATTGCTAGTTGTGGGGTCCTGCTTTAGCTGTTGATGAAGTCTCCCTCCTTACTTACTCCCAACAAATATAAAGTCCGAAATGCAGCAACAGTGATTCCCAAAAAACAAGCCTCCGATCAAATCAAAAAGAGATTCCAGGTTCGATAGGTTCGTCAGTACCTTTCTTCAATCTGTCTGGGCTCTGCGGACGTGCACCAATCAAGCCTGTGAAGGCGCGCTGCGATGATCAGTCGGTTTCCATCCGGAGACACGGCGATGGACGGGTTGATAAAAACCTTGACTGGGCAAACGTGTACCCAAACTAATCTCGAACGCTTGCCAAGCTCCCTGCTCCACCACCTGTGGCACGCATGTCCTTCAGCTGCTGGGTCTCATTCTGTTGGACTGTACAGCTTACTGCTGCCCATCCTTGTCACTCATCACCAGAGGGAGCCGGACGTCAAGAAGCCCGTCTTGATGGATCTTCGCAGGCAGGTCCACCTGCCGGCACAATCTACGGCACCCTCAAACACCCACCTCTTCTCAAGTGACCTCCACCGTAGGAGCCGGTAGAAACCAACCGCCCAGCCTCAGCTCTCAAGCCTGCTCTCCAATTCCCTGCATGCGCTCTTGTGGCAACTGTCAGAAAACTTTGGAACCCATCCAGAAAAGTTAC